TGGTGAAGGCTCCTCGCTGCTGCTGGCCAAGGAGGGCTTGCAGGGCGGGATCGAACCTGGCCTGGCCCACCTCCCCCGGGGCACGCCAGAGGACCCTCCCCCCCAGGAGCGAACCGTCCCCGGAAGTGGGGGAGCCCGGCGGGGCAGCCTACCTGTCCTGGGCGTCGACGACAGGATGGCGTTGACCCCGAACTTCAGGAAAGTGGCCTCGTTGGCGGGAGAGGCGGCGGTCTGCGCGGAGCAGCCCCGTCTCGTCCCGGAAGGGGCGGGAGGGACCATCTCGGAGCAGCGCCCCCCGCCGTCGGTCCCTCCCCCGGCGGCGGCCCCGGAGCGGGGCGGAGACAGGCTGGGCGGGGGGGCGCCGCCGCTTCGGGGCAGGTAGGCGGCCGGCCTGCTGATCCTGATGAGGTCTTCCACCAAGAAGCTGGAGTGGCCGGAGAAGGCGGACTGCAGCGACGGAGGCAGCGTGAGGGTGGGCGTCGGCCGCAGGAGACTCGGGTACACGGCGGGAGGCGCGATCAGGCTGGGGAACATCATGGCAAAGCCCAGAGCCCGAGCGGAGGCGCCTTCCGACGTTCCCGAGGGCCGCCCGAGGCGTGGGGTGGCTCTCTCGCCTCCTGGAGAAGACAGCCGCCGCAGGTCCTGCCCTGGCTTGGCCCCCCTCCCCGCGCTCCTGCCCGGCCACCTCCTGGCAAGACCCACCTCGCGGGTCCGGCAGGGCTCTCCTCGCCCTGCCTCCTGCCCGGCGGGTTTTATAGGGCTCCGCGCCGCTCAAGCGCCTTCTTCGGTGACAGCTCCAACAATGGGGGTCTCCACTTGAGTCTCATTCACCGCCAGCCCGGGGCTCTCCGATTGGTCCCGGGGCGCAATTTATGATTGGATTAGACTTCATAAGCAAGCCTCGCACAATGGGCCGGCCACAAAGAATGTGCGGTCATCAGTTTTGCATATTGACCGCCTCTTTTGGAAAGGCGTCGCTCCAAAGGCTCCCAGCGGGGTTTTGTTCCGTAGCAACCCGCGCAGACACACACACGCACGCACCCCAGCTAATTAAATGCCTATTTCTTTTTTAAAAAGTTTCAAATGACATCTCGTCTCCTGGGAGGGGGAAGGGGGAATCTTTTTTTTTTTTAAAAGAAAAGCACTAAATTTATTTGCTTCCCGCCCCCCCCCCTTTTGCTTTCTGGAAATAAATCAATAAATATTCATATAAACTTAACTAAGGGCTTTGGGGAGAATAGAAGATACAAATGAGGGGAGACGGAAAGAAAGGTCTAATGTGGATGAAAAGGGTTTTTTGATATGGGATCCGATAGTGAGCTGAGCGGATATTTGGGGCTTTGGTCCCCCCCCCCCCAATACCGATCCGGGGAAGACCCGCCAGTAACCTTGCAAGTTTCCCGACTCCAATGTTTAGTGCTTGCCCAGGAGGCCGCCTGGGAAAACGGGATCGTCTAGTTGCGGCCCAGGTGCTTGGTTTCTCAGAAGGGCCCGGCGCTCTTCTGGGTTCGTATACGGTGGGAGTTCAAGCTAGAAAAGCGTCTCCATCATTCATGGCCCTTTTTGAAACCAAAAAGATAAGTATTTTGGGGTAACCCGTTTTCTTTCAAACTCTGTGGCACAGGAAGTCTCACGGTTCTCCCTTCCTTTAATCCCAAAGGCGCATTAACTTTACTTTAGACGCCACTGCAAACCGGTTAAACTGTGGACGAACTCCCCCCCGATTCACCGTCCAGCCCTAAAGATATCCTTTAGACATCCAGTCTTGCATTTATTGAAGGGAAGCCGTTGTTTCCCTTTAAGTCCTGTTGCTTGCGCGCCTACGGGTTTGTTCGCACGGGAAGGTCAAGCAGCAGCGCCATCCGAAACAGGATCGCGCCCTTCTAAAGCTCCCTGCCTTCGACTGCGTCAGAAGAGGATAACTATTAGTCCGCCGTCCTGCGCAAGTTTATCTGAAAGTGAATTCCCGCAACTCCGTGGGAGTCGTTGAGGAGACGCAGCGCTGCCTTTAGAGCGCCAGTCAGATGATCTGAGCTTTCGCTCTCCTTTTTTTTTTGCAACAGAAATTATAGTCAGCAACGCCTGAGGGGATAAGTCCCAGAAGTCACAGCCCCCCACTTTATTAACCCCTCCGTGTACGCTAACCTTTATTGGTCGGTCCTCCTGCAAGATTTGAGATTCTAGGATCTGGGGTGTGTGTGTGTGTGTGTGTGTGTGTGTGTGCTTTGTTTCCCTGGATCTCGTTCCCCTACAGTGAGAGTCCCCTACACATGCCAATGTCACTTTTCGCCACCCCGAGTCTTACTTTACAGCTTGATCCTAAACTGATCCCCTTGCCAAGAAAGCACACCTAGGCTGCGATCACACCCACTAAATAATCCACTGTCGATGCACTTTGGAATTGGATTTTTTCCAGTTCACACCGTACAATCCAGTTGGGAAGTGCACTGAAAGTGGATTGAAAGTGGCTCATTTGGTGTGTGCCGTCGCAGCCCTGGGCGCTCATCCTTTGAAGGGAGTTTGGGAGAACACCGTTTCTTCTTAGCTCTCAAAGCGGAGCCAAACTGAAGACCCCACCCACCCCGGGTTTTTTTTGGGGGGAAGATTCTCTGCCCGGAGGCGGGGCGCGGATGGTGCCCAAGGCTGCTAAAAAGCTGGGGGGGGGGAGGACGGGACGGGAGGAGCGGGTCGGTTCAAGGCCCTGATGAAAGAGGCCCCCTTAGCAAAGGCTTCTTTGGGGCCTGTCTGCTGCAGAATCTAACAGATGTGTTAAAACGTCCAGCGTTTGAAATCCCCCCCCCCCCCCCCCCCCTTCCATCCCTTTGGTGCGGGCGGGCCTTGCCCCC